TGAAATTTCAATTAATAGAATATTTTCATGACGTATGCAGAGGGTGGAGATGACTCTGCTATTTCAAAGTTATAACATGTTTACTGGAGAATAACAGTCACATAAAACATCATTTCAGCTTTGTTAAGGAGTAACAAAATATCTTTGCTTGATAAATAAATCTTTGTTATATTCTTATTCTTTGAACCTACTTCAACTGAATATCATTTCTGGACCCATGAGAATGTGCCTTATTCTCTTAGGCAGCTATGGACCGGACCTTGTGCTCAGAAAAGAGCAAGCAAAGGACTATCAAGTTGGGGGATGTGATTTCTAGGCAGTTACTGTTGTCTAGACAGCCATTGACTTCTGTTTCACACAGTTTACACTTGTACCAAACTGAAATTAATAAAATGTAACCATTTATGTTACATGTGAAAATATTTTCACAAATGTAGTCTTAACTCCTTTACATTTTTTGTGGGAAGGAAGCAAAGAAAGTTTGAGACTTGCTCAAGAGTCTCCAAGTACAAGTGGCAGCATCTGTTCCAGCCCTTGGATCATCTGTCAGCTAGCTCTTTCCACTGTGGCTCAGGAGAAAAGGGAATAGTTCTCCCTCTGTCACACTGTCCTGAAGATCTGCAAGGATGGTGACAGTAAGCAATCTGATTGAACTATAAGTAAAAAGATAAAAGTAGAAAATCACTAATATTTGCTTAAGATTTCAGAGTATATCTACCATCAGAATACAGAAATTAAAATGTTTACTGATTTCATATGTTAACTGAATATGATTTCAGTGACATTACATAACATATTTTGCTACACATTTTTTTTTTCTGTTTGTAGAGGTTTTAATGAGACCCAGAAAAATCTATCCTGGGCCAAATTTGACCTCTCCCTCAGTTCTGGCTGTTTCTTTCTTTCTTTTTTTTTAAGCATTTCTTTTTTTTTTTCTTTTTTTTATTACATTGCATCATGAGACACAGTTTTACAGGCACTGGGATTCCCCCTTCCCCTCCCCAAAACCCGCTTCCCCCTTCCCATGGTGGATTCTTCCATCTTATTGCATTACCACAGATCGAATTCAGTTGAGATTTTTTTTCCTTGCAAGCATCTACAAAACATAGAGTCCAGCATCTTATTGTGCAGATAAGTTCAACAGTTTCATGGGGAGACAGTCTCTGGTCTGAAGGTACAGCCGAAAGAGTATCATCCCAATCAATTGAAAGCCCCGACATTACATCAGTAACAATTTATAACGTACCAGAATTAGTTGATATGATATTGGCTACACATGTTTTGATGACATGCTACCACATAACTAACCAGATATATTTTTCCAGAATACTTTGGAGTTGAAAACATATCAACTGACAATTTAAAAATACTGTTTCAACCGAAGATCTTCACTTTCAAGAAAACAAGGCAATGGAGAATGACACTTGGGACATGATTCACATGAGTAATTACTTAGACACAAAGGAAAAGAAGTCCTTTGCTGTACAGTACAGACACAAAAGAATGATTGGAAACATGTTACTGACCATTAGCAAAACAAATCAAGAATTCATATTACTACTAATCTAGGAATATGAATTGCTTATAATTACAAAGTAATAACAGTCATCCAAAACCGCTCATTTGAAACTGTCCAGAATCATGTTTTGGATTGTCATTCTTCATAACAGCTCAATTAGATAAAGGAATAATTATAGCAAGTAGAACTAAATTAAAATGATTATCGTTAACTAATTTATAAGGGCACTTCTTGTGTTAATTTTTTGCATAGATTGTGAAGACCACAAATATTTTTAAAATATTTCAATTCAATTGAAAATTAGTAAATTTCAACTAGTTGTTTCTAAAACTATTTAGGAATAAACTTCAGCTATTTTGTCTTGAATCTGTAAGAACATGATGTATGCCTGAAGGAAATTACTTATTCATAGGGTTTTCTTTCTGAGTAGAGATGATTAATATCTAGAACATTAATGCAAATTTTCGGATGTTGTAATAACTGGTGTCAAGAACTGCTGAAACTGGGGAGAACTGCTTCGTATACTTCTTCATTCTCATATATTTTGAAGAACATAGAAATTCTGGCCTGAACTGTTGTGGTAACAGAGGTATCATTAACTTGTGAATTCAAAAACACTAAGTGAGAAAATCAAAAGCTAATACATTAACTACCCTTTATGGAAATAAGGTAGGGGAGCAATGTTTGTTTTTCATCTAACAGTTGACAAGCAAAGGTTAAAATTTGTCATCATTTTTGGCTTATTCTTTTTTGTCAATTCAATACTCCTGATACTGGCAAAAAATAAAAATCATACCTACTTAGTATTTTGAAACAAAAAAAAAATGTGCAGGGGCCCACCACGGTAGACTAGTGGCTAAAGTCCACATCTTGCACACACCAGGATCCCATATGGGTACTGGTTCTAATTCCGGCAGCCCCGCTTCTCATTCAGCTGCTCCCTGATTGTGACCTGGGAAAGCAGTCGAGGATGGCCCAATGCCTTGGGACCCTGCACCCACCTGGGAAACCCGGAAGAGGCTCTGGGCTCCTGGCTTTAGATTGGCTCAGCTCTGGTCATTGTGGCCACTTGGGGATGAATCATTGGGTGGAAGATCTTCCTCTCTGTCTTTCCTCCTCTCTATATATCTGACTTAGCAATAAAAATAAATAAATCTTAAAAAATACGCAAAAGATCTGAGAATAAATGGTCTTCCAGCTAAATTATCTCCTGTCTCAATGGTTTTCACGTAATTCTCTCTAACATAAGTCCAAATTTTAAATTACCCAGAAGTGCACTGTATTTCCAAATCACATTACTGGTAAAAAAAAAAAAATGGCTTAACATTTCAGGTCTATACCAGGCTTGACACATTCCTTCTTCATAGAAAACAGAGAGGTTCTTCATAGAAAAATGAGGCTATGGTTTGACCATCCTAATTTTTGAGTAACCCTAAATTCTTTTTCCAGCCATAGTGATGAATTTCTTAGCTGCTTTGTAGGGCAATTCAACATGGACTACAGTTTGCAGTCCACAGCAAAATCACCATGTGAAGAAAAGTCTGGTTGTGAACTTAAGTGCCAAAAACTTTTTAAGAAGAAATGCTGTTTTACACAACTGAAATTGAAGTATTTTTTTAAAAAGCAGTCATGTGCCTTGTGGAGCTCAAATTTTGTCCTAAATTAAATCTCCATTAGTACTAAATGGTCTGCAACAATTATATGAGAGAACCCGAACAACTGTAAGCACAGCCCACATTCAACTGTGATAAGGAGTCAAAAAAACCTCCATTGAATGCTGAAAATGATATTTTACTTTCTTTCTGGCTGTAAATAAACACATCTGTTCAAGAATAATATTAAACAGGAATTTGAACCATTTAAAATTACAAGGCAATAATAGTGGTATAACAGCTTTATCCTCTGTGGAAGGCCAGCCTGTCCTGCTTGCAAGAAATGCCTGAAACCTTTTTCACTGCCCTGCCTCAACCTACAACTCGGTGACAAAAACAAACTCCCCAATCACCCTGAACCCCTGCAATGCCTGCCACATGTCTACAGGGCTTATTTACAAAGTCAAATTTAGGTGTATCTCTAGACTGGCTCCTTTCCTCTTGATCAGGGTAGGCATAATCTTGTAACAGTCTCTTTCATTATGAAGTTACTTCGTGTGTGTGTGAGGGTGCAACCAAGTAACACTCTGACTAAAATATGTAGCATGCCCAGGTGGTGACAACTGCACCTGGGAGAAACGGCAGGGAGGTAACTAAGCCACCTTAGTATCCGAATTGGGTGGTAACAACCGCAGACAGGAAGGTCCACTGCAAAGAGGGCATCTTAGCCAAGATCGGAGGGAGGTAAATGAAGGAGTCTTTGGGAATAGGCTCAGGCTGAGGAAACGGGAGGTGCAGTCACTGGGATGAGAAAGTACCTGGTGTAGTGGAGGCACAGCGATAGCACACTACGACAGAGGCAGAAGGAATGAGTGAGAGGCAACCATTGCGTGAAGGCCTACAAAGTCAGGGCACGATGTTCCAGCAGGCCATTTTAGGAAAACCCTGGGAAAAGACTGTGGACAGAGGGTTGACCTAACTCAACATGCTGGTAAAGAGCTCTGGTTGTATAGCCATGGTGGAGGCCTCATCTAAAGAGCCCTGAATCTTAAATGTGGTAACAGGTGTCCCAAACTGTGCACTCGCAACTACTAAAAGAAGGACTGAATCCAGCCATCAAATGTCTGGATGGGTCAAAAGAGGCTGTTGCCCTGGGAGACGCACTTGGGCCTGGCTTTCAGGCTGTGAGGAAGGCGTGGGAGAGGGGGAGAAATGCTGCTCCCTTCTTCGTCCCCCACCCCACCCCCATTCCACCCCTATTCCAGCACTGCGTCCCCCTAGGGAAGGTCAAGACCCAAGCCTGCTGCTCCTGTTGCCATGGCGACTGCAGGATCTTTTTCTCCCCCTCTTCTAGAGTGTGAGGCGCCCTCCACCCCAACCATGCATCCAAACCAGGCCCAGCGGGGGCTCATCAGTATTCCGCCCGCAGCGTTTCCCCTGCCGCCAAGTCGCAGATCGGCAGGCAGTGTCTGCCTCAGCGACCCACGGGATCCCACCACACTCCTCTCCGGACACTCACAGCGGTCCCTGCCCTCGAGCGCGCTTGACAGTCCCTGGTACTCGCGCGGCTTGCCCAGGCACACAGGGCAGCCACAGGCGGCAGCCACAGGCGGCAGAGTCAGCCCCGCAGACTGCGCGCTCGAGATTTCTAAGGCTTCTTTGCTACAACTCTTGGGGGTATAGAGGAGGGGGTATTAAATCCCCCCCCCCCAGTGCCGTTTAAGGTCCTCTTGTGCCTCCTGCAATGCACCAGCCCGGGGAGGCAGACATCGCAGGCACCTGCACTGCGCCCCCGCTGGACTGCGCTATGCGTGAGAGGGGACCAGCTGGCGCAAAGCCCAGACAGGGCCAGCTCAGGGGACTTGGGGCTGAGGGTGCCGAAGACTCACCTTGTGCAGTTTCCACATAGCCCCTAGGGCCTTGACTTCGTGGCTGGAGTGCTTGCCCTCCTCCAGGCACTGGTAGCACACGGGCATCTTGCACTGCACGCAGTACATGCTGTGGTTCTCCAGCTCGTGGTCTGTGCAAGTGGACACCTTGCGCGGGCTCAGCCGTCGGCTCACGCGGCCCTGGGCCGGGGGCACCAGGCGGTGCTTAGCTAGGGGACCCCGGGGCGGGTGACATCGCAGGCGGCAGGGGTCGCAGTAGAAGACATCGCACTGTTCACACATGACAGTGGCCTCCTTGGGCGCCTTCTCGCAGAGCTGGCACTTGAGAGCCGCGGCTTTGCTCTGCTGGTAGCGGTCGATGACCCCTTCCAGGACGCGGTTCTTGGGAAAGCCGCGGAGCCCCCGGTCATCCAGGATTAGGCTGCGGTGGCACTGGGGGCAGGTGATGCAAGAGTTGCGGGGCACCGGAGCCAGGGCCGGGGACAGGTGGGTGGCCGGTGGCGGCATAGCTGGAGGAAACACGCGGACGCCGTTTGGGGACTTCTGGCACGGGGTGGTGGGAGCGCTGGCGAAACCCCCATAGGAGCCATAGCCGCTGTCCGCCTCGCTGTACAGGCTCATCTTGTCCAGGTCCAGGTAGTCATAGTCGGAGACGCCGGAGCCAGAGGCCCGGCGGCTCTGGGGGGACTCGGACTCCGGGGTTTGCACCAGGATATTGCGGGCGCAGGCCTGACATAAATTGTGAGAGCAGGGCAGGATGATGGGCTCCCGGTAGAAGGAGCCGCACACCGGGCATTTTAACTCTTCTTCCATTTCTTCCATGGGGACCAGGCTGAGAGCGCGGCAGCGGCGGCTGCAGCCGGTGTCTGAGCTGGTGAGGGGCCCCACGGGCCTGTGGCGTCCAGCACCTTGGCCAGTGGCGGCAGTGGCGGTGGCGGCGGTGGTGGCGCCTTCCCGGGTAGCCCTGGCGCCGGCTCCCCGCGAGGCGCTCCCGCTCTGTGAGAAGCCGAGAAGCCGCGAAGCCGCGCCGCGCGCCTGCTCCAGGCCGCCCCCTCCCGCCTTCCTAGTCCCGCCCCTCAGTCAGCCGTGTCCCATTGGACGGCGGGCGAGAGAGCGAGATCCTCATTGGCTCTGAGCCCCGTCCGTCTCCTCTCCTCCGCAGGCCACGGGGGGTTTGGTAGAGGAGCCTAAGAATGGGCGGGGGGGGGGGAGGGTGGCGGGTGTCTTGGCTGCCAGCTGCAGGATCCCGGGAGGGGGTTAGCGAGCGGAGGCTCGGGGCTCGAAAAGAAAGAATTAAACTGGATGACTCATCCCTCGCCCCCTTCCTTCCGACCTCCGGCGCAGCCAGCCAGGAGCCAGGGGGCGTGAGAACCCCCTGCGCACTGCGAGAAGGCTGGCGGCGGCTGGCGCTTGTCAACATAGGTGTGCGCCGGGCCGCCAGCTCTGACCCACCAGGGGCGAGGGTCGCAAAGACTGGCTGCCGGGGGCGGTCTTCTCAGCCGGGCCTAGGTTTCCGTCTGGTGAGTGGGGCTGTTGTCCCTCCAGAAAGCGGCTACGGCTCTCCCCCGAGTCTGAGGCGCTGGAGGCAGAACCCCTTCAGCTCAGCCTCTCTGACAGGGACAATAACATGGACTTTGGTGCTGCCGGGAGATTTAAGTAGGTAAACGACACGAAGGCTCGGGCACCTGTCTGTCATCCTTTCGCGCTTTCCAGTCAGTCAGCCTTGGCTGAGGGGCTTCTCTTTCAAGGTTATGGCGCCGACCGGCCCGTGTGCCTCCTGCGCCAGAATGAGCTTTCTTTCCCTCAGGCCAGCTGGACTCCTAGTGCAGCATAGGGCCGGATGGTGGGTCTGGGTTCGCCTGCTGTTTAGTACCTAGCCCTGTGAGTGAAATCAGAGTGTACCCAAGAGCCCGGGCCTTCATGCCACTCCATGCCACGTGTGCCAAGGCTCTGCATAGCTGCCAGCCCCTACCCTTCCTGGTGCCCGAGTGAGGGCCATGGCAGTGGATGTGGGCTGCGATTCTCAACCTTAGGCCGCAAGCACAAGGGGGTCTTCGATAAGCTCATGGGCAGTTGGTATTATAAAAACGATTTTGCAAGGATTTCCCACTGTTTTGCATCAAAAAAACCTTTTTATTCTATTTCCCCCGCATTTTTTGAAATATCCACTTTCTCCATTCTCTTCCCAGATATAGCTGGTGATAACAAGCTCTGTCTTTTGCAGACTGAACTATTGATTTGATGATGGACTAAAATTAATAAATAGGAAAAAAAATCTATTGAGTCAAGTGATATTCTCTTATAGGGAATGATATATGGCTGACTTTTGCTGAGTAATTCATGAGCTAATGGCAAAAACACTTTCTGAGTTCCACAAAATTGCCCAGTTTTCTATGTTCCAGAAAATGATAACTTGATTATAGGCAGCTATATTTATAATCTAAAACCACTTTATTGCCCACACACACACACACACACACATGCCTGCCCTAGAAGAAATAGTCCAAAACCTTTTCCGATGTGTGATCATTTTGTACAGCAGAAGACTCTTCATTGTTATTTAAGCTTCTTTAATCGTAAGTGCTATGTGATTTATTCCAACCTGTAACTAGTGGGGGGCAGAGCAGCCACAGGGGTAATATTCAGTATACAGGCATAGAATTTCTTTGGGTGTGATGGTATGCAATCCCTTCTATAGGGTTCATCTAATTTATAGTTTTCAAGAGAACTTACTTGTATCAAATAGCTAATTACTGAGAAATTGTTAGAAGTGACAAGACCACTTGGCAGTTACTCCTTTTGTGGCTTTTATATGCATTTGGCCACAAATCACAGTAACTTTGGGCCAGCAGGATGAGTGGCTGTATATTTTTTTAAAAAGATTTATTTTATTTTTATTGCTAAGTCAGATATACAGAGAGGAGGAGAGAAAGAGGAAGGTCTTCCGTCCGATGATTCACTCCCCAAGTGAGCGCAACGGCCGATGCTATGCCAATCCGAAGCCAGGAGCCTCTTCCGGGTCTCCCACGCGGGTGCAGGGTCCCAAAGCTTTGGTCCGTCCTCCACTGCTTTCCCGGGCCACAAGCGGGGAGCTGGATGGGAAGAGGGGCCGCCGGGATTAGAACCGGCGCCCATATGGGATCCCGGGAGTGCAAGGTGAGGACCTTAACCACTGTGCCACCGCGTCGGGCCCATGGCTGTTTATTTTTATGAATTTGAATTTTGCTGATCAAAATTAGTGAGAGGGCTGCGTATTAGCAGAAGACTTACATTTTATTTCAAAGTAAAGGGCCAGTTTAGTGTATGGTTAATGATTTAACACTAATAATGATATGACATCCCAAAGTGCCTTCTTACAATACAAATATGGCCAATATACAAAGCTTTGATGTGTTACGTAGCATGTTAATTTGATTTCATTGTTGGATCTGTTGGGTCAAGAATTAATAAGCCAGTTGTAATAGAGCTGTTAAAATTGCTGTCATGTAAGAACTCACCCTGTTCCAGAGAGTAGACCTATGTTTGTAGTTCAGGTCTGTGAGATCAAGAAGAGATAATTATGATTATCTCCATTTTACAGATGAGTAAACTGTGGCGAAGATATCTATGTGAATCCTCAAGATCGAGTATTAGCCTGGAATTTGAACCCAGGTACATGTAAATCTTTTTCTTTATTTGTTCAACAAATACTGAATTCAGGCTCTATATGATGAATGCCCGAACAATATTTTTGAAATACCTTTATGATATCATTCTTCCATTACGGTTGATTCTTTTTCTTGGAGTCATTTCTCTGACCTTTTTGGTGGGCTTTTGGTGATTGTTCTGCCTCGCATTGCACTGTTTGACTACAGTGTGCTTTAAAGCTGTGGCTGAACTGTGTTTCAAGGGAAATGAAAATCTGGCCATAGTTACTGATATAATAGAAAATGCCATTCCATGAGGCAGTGTCCTTTCTTTTCCAGCTACTGATCAGTTCATGCCCTGAAACACAAGTCTTGATGTGTTCATTCCTGATCATTCCTGAGGTGACTGCAGATGTTCTTATTTGTATGAAGTACCTGATTATACTCTCAAATTTAGTACCCCCCCAAATGCTATTCTTCAATGAAGAGTAGAGCAAATTGAGATCGCACCAGTTTCTTGATTTTTGTAGAAGATAAATGGAAAATTGAGCCACTTTTCTAATTGTTTTCAACTCTAATATCTGATTTTAACATAACAGACAATGTCTTTGAGGCTAAAGAATGAACAGAGAAAAAGGATTCTCTTATTCTCCCTTCATATTGTCTCCTAGAGTTGGCCATTCTTAGTTGTAGAAGAGAAAAAAAATCAATGAAAGGAGCTGCTGATAGGCTGTGACACTTTAAGATTTTATGATACCACATACGTAATAAGTGCTTAGTTATTAAAAGTGCTGTTTGCTGTACTTGGTAAAAATTGTATCATTGAAGAAGGATGGATATGATTTTTCTTTTTCGAAAGAAATTCTGTAGAGACTTCTTTTTAAGGAGCATTTTCCCCCATAATATTTAGATTTGTACTTAAAATATATTGTGCCATCTTTTAATAGCATACATTTATTATTATTAATATTCTTTGGTAATTTAAGTTGTGTTACTATTTTGGATTAAAAGCCTTTTATCTGAGAAGGTAACTTTAATTGAAATCAGCAATATTTTTACTTGTAAGTAACAAGTTACTAATGCTTTAGGAGAAATAGAAAAGAGAATCTGAGGAAACGGGGCTTTAGTGAATCTGATGTTCAGGTTAATGAGTTGGAATGTAAATCCAGGAAATCTAACATGTGAATAATAGGAACCTCAGAAAGAGAAAAATCAAAGGTAAAGAAAAACCACAGTTGAAGAAAGTCTCTGAACTAAAGAAAGGACATGATAGATGGAAAGGATTTTGCAGTTATACATGAAAAAAGACTGAAATATACAAATACAATTCTTGAACTTTGAAAAGAAAATAAATGTCTTGAAAGTTCTTTAAAAAAAGCTTTTAGATTAGAAAGAGTGGTAAACACTTAGTCTACTAATTGAGGTGGGATGTCATGTTCCATATTAGAGAGTCAAATACCTGTGGAAGGAACCACCTCCCAACATCTCCAAAAAGGGGGTCGAGTTCCCCAACATGTGAACTGTGGGGGACACATTTAAGTCCTGGTATATCCCAAGTATTTTGTGATTAGCCCATGGTTTCCTAAGTACTGAGTAACTGAATCTTGATAGAGTCTTCAGGATTTGGCTAAAGTCTGAGATGCTGATATTATAGAGAAAGAAATGGGGAAGTAAATAGAAAGTTTGAACTGAAGAATTAGTGTCTTTTTTTTTCTTTCTTTCTCATTCAGTCATAAGTGAATACAAGTATTGTGAGACCTAGAAAAGGAAATATATTTATCAATAAAATAGGAAATATATTTACTAATAAAATAAAACTTGTAAATTAACTAATCTTGAGATATTATTTGAGATACCATTTGAAACTATGACAACAAATTTTAAAACAAGGAGGAATTGGGTACTTTTCTGAAAAATTGTAAATTAACTGAATTAAATACTCAAAGTGGAAAGCCCGGATAATATGCAAAGCCAAACAAAAGAGATTTTAAGGTAATTTTAGATTCCTTATTAAAAAAAGATAGGATCACTGCATAAATGAGCTCTGTTAACCTTTAAGAGCAAGTCATTAAATGTTACTGAAATAATACTAATTAAATAATACTAATTAATTACAGACTGTTAGTTAGCCTACTGTATGAAAACATACCTCTAATAACAAAATATGATTATATAGCTAATAAATACAATAAATTTTAAAAACCCATAGACAAGAGCTAAATATTAGATGTAAAAGTGTTAAATAGGGTATACAAATGAATTTTAGCATTGTGCTAAGAGATAACAGACTATATGTAAACAGAGTTTTTTTTTCATGAATAATGGTTGTGGCTCAGCATCAGAACTAGCAACACAATTTATTACATGAAAAATCTATTACATAAAAATTTAAGCAAAATTCCATCTTTTGCATGTATGGTAATACTCTCCTTCATTCCAAAAATAACTAAAAAGCAATATTGGCCACAGGGAACATACTTGCCAGACACTGGCAGTGTAGGACTGTAATGGCTACCCCGGTCAGGCTTTGTATCAGATAACAATTTCCAAACTTTGATACACAGAAGTGGAACCCAGGAAATCTCTAGGTTGAGAAGACACTGAATTTTGAAATAGTGAATCTTAGAATTCTAAAAGAGGAAAGAGCCAAGCAGAGCAAGGGTTTCAGATATCTTTTTGGGAGTTTGCATCTTTGAACACAAAATATAATTTGCAGTGGAACTCTACCAGGTTTGGGCAACAACTGAAATACTAGTAAAAACAATTCTTCAAACACAATGACCGGGAATCATTCATATCCCTCATCCAAAATGAAGAGAGC